ACACTAATCACATGTTATTTCAGATCCATTCACATGCAGACCCAAATATCTAAATGAAATACGACCTTTTTTCAATCTAGAATATTAAAAATTTGGAAGAAGGGGAAACAAATGAAGCTGGCCTAAAAAAGAATTATTAATATGAATACATTATTGACGTCATTATTGACGTATGCCTTTGCTGGTACTCAAACTGATCTGTACCTACGTAATTGTCATCAAACTTTTTTTCCCTTCATTTTCGTCTCTGTTTTTATTATTTCCATGATTGTTTTGATTGCATAAATTTTTCAATCATGTTTATTTTGTCATTTCTCAATGCGAGGACCAAGATTTAAATTTGTCAGTGATCTTTAATCCCGATTACATATATCTGAATAAATGAATAAATAAAAAAAAACACCATTGGAAAATTGTTTCTGTGAATCCAACATTGCACCCTAAAAAGTGACCAGTACAATATAAATGTATTAATCTGAGACCAGGACATACCCTATGAATAACATTTTTTTGAAAGGTAAAATAATTACACAAAATGTTAGTAGTAAGTCCATTACCTAACAGTTATCATAGAGAGTCTCCTCTTCTGTTGTATTTTATGGTGGCCCAGAAGGGACATCACGAATCGTGACATCGCGAATCTTTGTAGTCCAGAATCTGGTCTATTTCATTTTGGTCTCCTGCACACCAACACAATGTGACCTCCCACTACTTATCTGCTACCAGCCGAAGATGGCTTGTTCCTAAAACTAGGACGCCCGGCCGCGCATATTTTTTTTACACAACTGTTTAGCCACTTAAGTAAAATATACAGTGCAAACGACTAGAGACAGAGTCTAACATTACTCTTAGCAGTGTTGCATTGCTGGAGCTGCACATGACATACTCGTTATTTGTTTCGGGTTAAATCTATCCTTTCTTCTGTTTCATTTATTTATGTGTTCTCAATCTATCCTCTTCTCTTTTGTCATGTAATTCTTCTTTTTTTCTTCAATCTATCCTTTTTCTCCTTCGTTGTATATATTTCTTTGTTTTTTCACAATCTACCCCCCTGCAGTTCTCCTATGTTATGTTATTCTTTTGTTCCCCTTCATTCTAACCTCTTCTCTTTTGTTTTATGTATTTCTTTTGTTTCTCCTTAAATCTATCCTTTTCTCCTTCGTCATCTATTTCTTGACATGTTTTAATTTGATAGATTTTCTTTCTCCTTCTCAGTTATGTCCCTGTTTTTCCTTAGTCTAGATCTATGATCCTCTTATAGCTCTTCAATTATGTATTTCTATGTTCTTCCTTTGACCTATTCTCTTCTCTTTCTTTATGTATTTCCTTGTTTTTCCTTCTCCATATCCTCTCCACCATCCTTGTTTTCCCCTTTCTATCATTTTCCTTTCCCTGGGTGTACGTGCTTGCACATAATAGTGCGCTGACGACTTAGACTCTTTCACCAGAGCACTTCTTGGATTTTTTTCGCGAAAATGGCTAAACAGTTGTGAAAAAGGGGGGGTCAACCACAGAACTAAGGGATAAAATAAACCCTATGAATTGTTTTTTTCTATGACATATGTAACAAATACAACCATAATGAAACCATTGGTGTCATGTGGCTCCATGCATTGAAGAGGCACTAGTATGGGGGGGGGGGTTCAATTGTACCCAATAAATGGAGTGTGAATTAACAAAGCCACCGAATATGCGGTAGGAGGGGTCTTATCAGCTTTATAAAGTGTGCCTTTTACCCTTTCTCTTTGTTGTCTTTAATTTTCCCCTTTTCGCCATACGATCGAGGCGGTGCCCATATATACCCCAGCAGCTAGATTTTTATCGGGACCTAATTTGTTTATAATTTTGTTTTAACTAATCTTAAACTGCAATATTATCCAAACCTAGCTGTAATCATGTATGCGCTTATGGCGGGCTAAACAGGCCAATATAATGTACACCTATATACGACTATATGTCTCTCCAGCCATCGGATAGATGTATAGTCGTATAGTTGTACGAATATTGGCCAGTTTAGCCCGCCATATTCGCTGGCCTGAATAACCTTACCCATCCTCTTCAATCCTCATCTTTAGTAAATACTTCATATGTATCAAGGGTTTATGCAAGGATTCACAAGATTCAAGAACCGTTTCTAATCAAGGATAATTACCATTACTCTATATCGTCTCTTGTGGTTTACGAATCAATAAATAATGACGTCTTCTCTGATCAGCTTTATACGTCAACTTTGAATTCAAGCGATTCACGAGTAATTTAAGTAAACTAGTTATTAATTTACTAATGATCATGAGTTGCCATTGGTGTAGTCTTTCAAGTAGGTGTGATTAAAATGAAATACAACACCGGAATTATATTTCCTTATATTCATGGTACTGAAAATGTCTGTTTTGTAAACCCACACCGCCAGGTAACCATACATTTTGTTCTGAATGATTCTTCTAGGATTATCTCGAGACTCAATTATTCATGCAATCATATTACTAAAATATTTCTTCACTGTGATATGATATGAATGTTATATATTGGTTTAGGAATAACAAAAGCTATTTCACAACCGAATTATACATGTTAATGAAGTGTACAAAATATACATTATGTGAACCAAATATTAAAAAGCATACAAACAAATACAAACAAAATATGGTATATAAATAGGTATATCATGTTCAAAGAGGAAAGGATACATAAAACAATACCGGTATATGATTATCATGATTACATACATTAAAATACAGGACATAATATTAATTGAAGGTATTGCTTTTTCAAACTAGTAGTAAAGCACCCTCATCCGTTACTTTTCTTTTAAAAAGCACTACTCTTTATAACAGTTACAGTTACTGTATTTCGTATAACTACATGCATTTTGGCAAAATTACAATTTCTCGTCAATGTACTGAGATATGTACATATTTTATCATTGAAGTGGACACATTTACGTAATAATTTGAGACTGAAAATTATTACAAACTTTTTGATGGACTTGGATCTTTCCTCTCCTCATGTATTTACAATGTAATTCTCAATCGGCACATTAAAGGTAGTGTGTCACGTTTCCTGCCAACAGCGAATTTTGTCAAACTTTGCAGGAACTATGAATATGTCACGTATGTCCTAAGTGTGAAAGTTAAACGTTAGCAGTGAGACTCCTAGTATTCAAATTATGCAAGGAAACCCGTTTACTTTCTAGACTTCACTGTCACACACTATTGAGTGGGTGACTGACGTCTTTTTTCTTTGGTAATAATCTACATCAAATGAGCTATAAAGGGTGCATGAGCATTTGTCTGCATCAATAACCGAATCTTGTCACGACCACAATTAAACTGATTAAATCTTTGCGCAGCACAAAACGTACGACCATTTGGTACAAGGGTCTGAAAATCAGACTATTTAATTAAACGACGGCGATCACTAAATTCGATTTCACAACTAACGGTCATTATTTTTTTTCACAAAAATGCATTTACAAGCGCTTTTGTTTTGAGAGAAGTTCTAAATTAGTATTATTTGTTAATGCCGTTTTAATTTAACCTTTCATTATTGTGGCCTGGAGATTGGACATCGGGCGCGTACGCAGGATTTTTTCAAAGGGGGGGGGGGTTAAAATTTGAAAATCGCGCCAAAATCCGCTGAATAAGCGGGGGGGGGGTGGGGAAGGGAACAGCACATTTTTAATATTTTATTTGTCCCGTAAATTTGAAAATTTGGCCGATCGATATTTCGACACCCACCCACCCCCCCCCCCCCTGTGTACGCGCCTGTGGGACATAATACCTTTAATAATGTATTTAATGTTTTATCATATAACTGTTTAAATGCCTGGCACGTTGACATAATCTCTCTTTATGGCGTCATTCAATTTTTCGTAGTTAGCCTCTTGATCAGGTTTCTGAAGATCTTGGTAGGTATGAGGGTCGGTACGATTCACATATCTCTCAGCATCGGTATTACAATCTTGGTAGGTATGGACGTCTGTCCCTGACTGATCAAATACAGGGTTCTCATACTGCGGAGACGAATCGGACTCCTTCCCTTTAGACTTAGTAGTGGCTGATTCATTCCTGAAAGTTATTATTAGGAAAGCATAGATAAATTGCATCGATTAAATAGATAAAACAATAACAAATAAAGTCCAACTACATGACATATGGGAATTGGTATGGTACTTTCAAAGTACATGTCGTTAACATAACAAGTCGTTTAAGCGGGTTGCCATAAGATTTAAAAAGTGTTATGCTTTAGAATATTTACATTGAATAGCATTTGATAACGAAGAAGAAAGTATTAAAATAATTTTAATTATAAAAAAACAATCATAATTCAGCTTTTATTTTCATGACCATACGGTTTTATCTTCTTTTGTGGAGGAGTTCGATGAGAATGGACTGATAAGAGGGACAAGTTAAGTACAAGGTTACTTTCTTACCTTCTTCGCTTGTAAAAGATGATGATGAGAACTATAACGATAACAATCACAACAATAGCACCAACAGCGCTTCCTACGACAGTTGCTATGAAGCTTGACGAACCTCCAGCTGAAGTTGATTTTGGTGGAGAAGAAGTGGTAGGTGAAGAGGATGGTGTGTGAAGGCGGATGTTAGTGAAAAGAAATGACAGGAGTTAGAAATACCAAGATAGCATCAGTTGATAGATACATGGTAAATAAGTCGGGTACTAGAATAAAATCTTGATTAATTGTAATTACATGCAAAAGGACCGGTCGCAGGAGGTTGCTTACTTGCACATCTAGATATTGATGATTCGCGTATGGAAAGTTGTGTGTGTGTGTGTGCGAGCGTGTGTGCATGTGTGCGCGCGCGCTCCACAGGGTGCGTGCGTGTGTGGGTGTGTGATTATGGCTTAATAAATGGAATATATATTGCCATTGTAATCATCGATATCTACATTCTTCTTTTTTTTTCGAAATATACTTTAGCTGTACCATTTTTACTTTGATTCATGATGTTCAAGCATTTCTGTATAATCATGGGCCGTCATATAACGCGTATTTTACATTTCATTTCTTTGAGATGCCAACCTTGTTTTGTTGTAAATGTCAATGCTGGTCCTTGTTCGCCTTCACCGTTGATACCATCCCGTATCGCTGCAATCTGAACAGAGTACGTTGATCCTGCTTCAAGTCCACTGACGTTATACATGACCATCTCATTGGCATTCTCAGCAGACCTCTTCAACACGGAACGGTCCGTAATTGGGACCATGCTTGGAGGTGGTACTTCTTTAGCCAACACGGCATTGCTACCTGATCGCACGTAGATCTTGTAGCCAACAATAGGTCCATCCCCTGTTTCAGAGCTAGAGTCCCATTGTCTCCAACCAATGGCTGCATGGTGGTATCCCAATTCAAGTAGTTCCGGTACACCACTAAAACTTGGTAAAACTGCAGAAGTGGGGTCAAGACGAACACAAAAAAAAATTAATAATAATAAAATAATAATAGTAATTATAATAGTTATAATAATAATAATATAATTATAAAAATAATATCGAACATTTAGGAGCACTAAAAATCACACTTAGCGTTTACAAAAAGCGCTTACAGATAGTGAAGAAGAAACATGAAAAACACAGAATTGGTAAATCACATTAATTTACTTACTTTTTAGGGAAGAAGTATGTTTTAAGGGATCTTTTGAAAGAGGCAAGACAGGTCAATTCTCTGATGGAAAGTGGGATATAGCTTTAGTTGTTGAATGGATATTCTTCTTACTACCCCACCCACAGCAATGGAAACATTTTTAGTGATCCTTCCTTTTTTCTTATCCCTGTTCCTCATAGAAAGCAAAAGATTTCGCCCCAAGCTACACTCAAGTTCTTATATCTGATATTTCCTGAACTTCCAAACTAAACTAATTTTAGGAATACAGATTGCGTTAAGAATATACTAATTCTAGATCATCACGGTGCCGAAATAATCCGTGGGGTCATAAAATTCCCTCTATCAGGTGGATTTTACTAAAATCTTGCTTGTACATGTTGGATGAAAACCCTGAACCAACCTTTCAAGAAACAAATGACTACCATTTTCACAGACTGGTGCATTTTTCATATTCTCTACAAGCACTTGTTTGATTTTAAAAATAAAAATAAATCATGTTCACGCAAGGCACCACGCTGTACTAAAAACGTTGAATTAATAGATAATAAGTTAATTCATTAGGTGTTTAAAAACATGTAATCTATTAACCTTTACTTTTCAAATTTTGAAATCAAACTACATTGTTAGCGCGATAGTCACGTGCAGCTAAATTATGTTACATTTACATGCGCCCTTATTCTTGAGCAAAATGGTTTTGTGCGTTTTGATCAACTAATTTGAAATATTTTACCTATATAATTTGCAATAGAGGACCATAATTTTGGAAATACATTATCTGATAGAGCATTATTGAGATTGCCAAAAGTAGGTGAGATTTATATGAATACTCTAATGTTTGGCATTTACACGATATTTCCTTAAGATATTCGAACATTAAAGAGTGAAGTGAAAAGGCGAACCCCTCACGATGAGTCTTATGAAGCTGAATTGATGTTGTTCAAGCGTTACATCCATAAACAACAGTATATCTTTTCAAAATGAACTTTGGTTCATTATTTGGTTTAACAAAAGTGTGAAATAAATTTTTACAACTGTCCGGCATAATTTTCATTTGCAAAACGGCCAATATGAAATTCATTACCCTAATTACACGCTATCGAAGCTCACCTTTACATTATTCTGGCAAATAAAGTAAAACAAAAAACAAACAAAAACCTCTCACTCGGGGCAAGTTAAACGCTTAACGTCGAAATATAGATACGCCACGGGTCTATACATATACGCTACAATGAACGTGTTTTGGAGTTTTTCGAGAATGTCAAAGAATAGACAGGCCCCAGTTCCCTTTATTTGCCGACCCTAATATGATGCACTAATAATGTGACCCGTGACGTTAACATAACACAAAAGTCGCCTTTTTTCAAAACTATTTTATGATTGAGACTGGGTTTTTTTAAATATCATAATTTTTAAGGTTCTTAATTCCTAAAAATTAAAACAAACTGGGCTATTTATTGTTGACATTTTTTGCTTCTCCCTTTCTTTATCAACACTTGTTATCTTGAGACAGGTTATGTTCTCTTTCTTTAAAAAGTTACGTTTCTTTTGTTATCGCTGTTTAAAAGAACTTTTGGATATTTAAAGGCCGCTTTTTGAAAGACTAAGAAACAAGACATGAGCTGACCAGGTGATTATTTTTTGTTCTATTTTTTTAGATCACGCACTATTCTTTAAACAGTTTCTGTTCTCTTTTTTTTTTCTTTTTGCGCTTTAAAAGAGTTATAGAATTTGCCAATTTTTAATACGAATCAAACATACATTAGAATAAAACCGCTGTTATCAGTGCCTAGCAATTTCATTACCATTACATAAATCTATATTATTCATAAAGTATATTAAACATACGCACCATAAAAAGCAGCAGACGCCAACCTTATATAGCCGAACTCGGACGATTTATTGAAAGGGTCTCCGATGAAACAGTAAATAGGACTATCATCCGAAAAATCTTGGATGTTGAATATGAAATTGAGGAGTGTTGACGAGAAGATTTGTGGAGGACCTTTGGCCGTTTTCCAGTTGTCTATTGAAAAGTCCTCTGTAGTAGCTTTCACAAAGTCAGGTTCATAATTCGTTGGTGAATCGAGCGAGATTACACAGGAAAATATAGCAATATCCGGGTTTGTCTTCTCACGTGCAGATTGTAAGCGGTCTAAACATAACAAAGACAGATAGGGAAAAGCATTTGTTAACTCATCAACTCAGAAGTATAAGACAATTGTATAAATATGGACATTAATAATTAGGGTCTTCGTTGTAGTTTCACAGCAAATATTAAATGATAAAAGTGCTAAGACAGAAAAGATCGATACAGAATGGGAGATAAGGAATATGGTGAGTTGATATTAAAGAAACAGTGTGGCAACAAGAACACCAACGATAATAATCTAACTACACTAATAATATAATAACCTTATGGGGACACAATAGTGTGAACGCATGTGTGCGCTCATTAAAGTCTCTATCGAAGTAAATGAAAAACATGAACAAAGCAGTAATGGTAGTAACCTGTTTGGCAGCTTTCCCCTGTCCATCGTGGATGGCATCTACCTGAGCTACAAGAACCAGTCACCGAGTTACAATCATCCTCCCCATCTCGACAGTGACATGTACCGGAACACTGATTGTAACATCCAGTAACTAAAACAAAGGTGAAAGATTATTTATTTAACCATTTCTTAAAGGTACCTTGTCCCGTTTGCAGGCCAATAAAAAAGAGAAGGTTAAATTCCAACGGCATTTGAAAGACAATACTAATGTAGAACGAGACGAAAGGGCTTTAAAATGGCTTTTAGTGGGAAAATAAGGACCATTAGATTTCGAATCGAATTAAGTGATTGCAATCACCTAAGTAATAATCTGACTTTTTCAGACCCTTTTACCGAATGGTTGTACGTTTTGTGCTGCACAAATATTCAATCAATTTAATTTTGGCCATTACAAGTAGTGGGTTATTGATGTAGACAAATGCTCATGTACCTGTCAAGGCTCATTTAATGTATGTTATTACCAAAGAAAAAAGATGTCAGTCAGTCACTAAACGGGTTTCCTTGCATATTTTAAATACTAGAACACTGCTAATGTCTAAATGTCACAGATAGGACACACGTGACGTATTCATAATTCCTGCAAAGTTCTACAGAAGTTAATGTTGGCTGCAAAAGGGACATAGTAGATTATTAATGTAAATATTCCTATCATGGTAGGACCGGAGGCAGAAAATGATAAGAACAATTATGCATAAAACCAAAGATATATTTACAAATTAATTTAATGCAGAAATGGAATCTCACATGAGTTGCAGCTATCGGGCATGTCCACTGAGTCTGCTGTGAATCCTACTTCACATTGACCTTCTGTTGTGCTACATAATCCAGAGACCTTGTCACAACCAACATTTTCTGGACAGTTGCAATGGTCAGTGCAGTTGACACCAAAATAACCCACTGGGCAAACGGATGGCACTGTAAAACGAGCACAACAATAAATTTGTTTTCGTATTTAAAAGCTTTATGCAAGTATTTTCAATGGTTCCTGTATTAAATACTATGCCTATTCATTTTTGCATCATAAGATTCGATTTATATTGGTCTCGATTTATTGGTTATTAGTTTTTTAGCTTTTAAGTTGCAACGGCGACATGGAATATCTCTGAAACTTCCAAATCAAAAATCAAAAACTTCTCTTTCTATCTTTCTTTCGACTTTTTCTCCTTCTTCTTCTTCTCCTCCGTTTTCTTCTTCTTCCCGTGTTCCGTCTTTTACGGCCGACATGGGCTGATAGTTCCGTGTCTGGCATGGCTATAAAATGGAAAGTCCTTATCACTATATGAGGCCATGTGGCTAGTGGCAGCGGTGGGATACCATCATGGCCACAACAAAAAATGACTATTTGAACTTTGAAGCTTCCTCGAAGACTTATTCTTCCCCAATCGAAGGCTCTTAGCAGTGATTTAATGATGCAAAGAGCAGCTCACCGACAGACAAATACGAATGTTTTTTTCTTTTCTTCTTTTTTTTTTTTTTGGTTATCTTTAGCGGTGTATCCTCTAATTATTTTGCATCTTTAATAATACATTTTTTTTTAATTACATAGACATCATTACATCGCCCGTTCATTTACCCTTTGTATATTTATATTTGAAACAAATCTCTTTAAATTGTTTTTTAATTCAATGTTTTCAAAGAATGTCAATATTCATCATTATCCTACTCGGTCTGCCGAGCTTTTAAATCTACCAAAACAAGAACTTTGCTCTCAAATAAATCATTTGTATTTTCAGGTCCAAAACTCAGGAACTCTCTTTCAGATCCAGTTAGAAATAAACCCACATATTATAGTTTTAGTAGAGTGTTCAAAAAGAATGTAATACAAAAATATGTGTCTCCTATAGGTTAAACTTCTCACATCTCCCTGTTTCTCTCTCTCTCTCTCTCTTTCTCTCCCTCTCTCTCCCTCTCTCCCTCTTCTTCTAACTTCTGTTGTGTGCAGCTTTGTTTTTATCTTGTTTTGTCCTGTCATGTCCTTTTGTGTGTCTTGTCCCATCCTGTCTTGTTTATCTTATCGTATTTTGTTTTTTCATGTCTTGTCTTGTCTTATCTTTTATGTAATTTTCCTGTCCTTTGTGTCCCGTTTTGTCATTCTTTTCTTTTTGTATTTTTTTTATTATTTAGATACTTTAAAATAGTTTACGAAAATATGTTATTATATTATATCTATTTTACTGTGATTATTAAGACACTTTAAAATGATTTATGATGATAATGTTCATATTATATTTATTCTTGGGAACCTACAAAAACAAGCTTTCCAGTAGGTTCCTGTTTCATTTCATAATTTTGATCTTTCTTTGTCAACTATATTCTTTATTGTGCAAACAATTGTAATATGAAATGAATAAATAAAATCAATCAATCAATCAATCAATTTAAACCCTCCCCTGTCTGGATACGCCCAGTATGATACTTAACCTTGACAGCCTTCTCCTGACCATCCCGCCGCACAGCCCTCTTTACATCTTCCAGTAAACACATCACACGGCATTCCATTTATACAGTGACAATCCTGGAGACAGTCGGAGCCAAAATTTCCACCGCGGCACGCTAAAACAAACCCCCAAGAAAGGTAAGAACTTTAATAAAATGAATTATGAATCGAATTATTAATAAAGAATTATGATTGATTTTAACTATTATTTAATACACCCTATGAAATAAAATGTTCAAGATTTATAAGAGATCATGGCCCGTGGTAGCAATGTTGCTGACTTTGCTCATAGTAAATTTCAACAACCCATATCAAAGAAATCTCACTGTCATACTGGATTACCTTAAAAACAATACATTGTGCTACCTTACTTTCATTACAGAATGCTCCTGCATAGCCAGCTATACAGCTGCATTCATTTGGACCAGAAAGGCAAAACTTGTTGTCGCTGCAAGAAGAATCATCAGCTACCGCAGAACCGCATACAAGTTCACACTCAGACCCAAACCATTGGTCGCCACATGCTGTTATTGATAAATAGTAATTGATAACAGGTCATCTTTTCAAGCATGCATATTTATGTGCCTAATTGTGACATTTAATTTTGATTCATTTGCATTTGATACAGGTAGGAAATTAAGTTACACACTTAATGCATAATCAGTATATAAAAAAAGATAAACATGCCATATAGGGGGCGCTAAAGCGTATAAAAGCATGCTATTGACGCCCTCAGTTTAACTAAAAAATAAATATGGAAGGAAGAGAGTGAATTTATATTAATAAAGATAAAAGAAGGGGGAGACCGCTGGTTTCATAACTAAAACAATAACTGAATAGTAATACTTATTGATATACTAAGACGTAGGTTTATACAGTTAAAATTCCAGATATAAACTATGGCATACAATCAACATAACACATCCTAGACAATGGTTTTTCATTAAAAATAATTTGTGTAGAGTTTACATCGATTTTTCAGGAATTGTTTACATGAGAAAAAAAAAATACGCGAAGAAACAGTAACAGCGATTCTTGGTAATGTTTTAATTAGAATGTAGAGGTATGTATCATTCTCTCAAAACTGTATTTTTGTCGATTGAGGTTACCCTATATCGGTGCCCATGTTTTTCTCAAAAGAAGTTCCCTCTTTTGTTGGTGCCATCCCACTTTGAAAGCCACCCCGCCGCCCCTGATTATATCAACGTGAATATATAAGGATGTGCGACTTACCTGTAAGGCAGTTTTTACCAGTAAACCCAGGAGTACAGATGCATGCTCCTGTCTGTGGGTTACACACTCCTCCGTTGTAACAGTTATCACACAGACGATCACAGATAGGCACATCCCATTTTCCATGGGGGCACCCTTTAAGAAAAAAGAAATATTTTAAGGTCAATACATGAAAATAAAGACAAATTTGTACGACGAATGTTTTTAATTCCCACATTTGAGTTTTAGCAAATCTTACACTTTTTAATTTTAACAACTGATACTACGCTACTTTCAGAAAATAAAATGTATCAAATGTATGTCAAACTGCTAAGAACTCATTCTTTAACCATCACTGTGCCATTGCTGAAGTTTGCCATGACTCTACACACATTGTATTGAAAGGGATTTGTGTTTGACATACAAAGATCTAAAAAACTTACATAAAATCATCGATAACAATATTTCTTGGCTCATGCTTAATTAATCGGTTCTAATCAACTTACTTTAATCTATTATGAATATCATAAAAGATATCACATTTCCTTCTTTTTTTATTGATGTGAATTTTGACACGAATTGTATTATGACATTGATGATAAATACATACATACCCTTTGATATCTCGCAGACAAATCTTCGTAGTTCATTGCAAAACCGATCATCCCAGCCGTCAATAAAGCGTGCTACACAGAACTGGTACCCATCAAAGTTATCAGGTACACCCGACATCCACATGGTAAACCTTAAAACAAAGAAAGAAATTACAAGTATTTAAATTGCTACTGTTTTATAGTAGGTCCCTAAACATTGGTTTCTTTTCATTTTCTGGGATGAATGTAGAATAAGATTTTTTAAAATAAATAAAAAACGTCTTTACCCAGCCACACCCTCCTCTCTCTCTCCCTCTCTATCTCTATCCCCCCCCCCCTCCCCCGTCATCCCACTCTCTTTCTCTCTCTCTCTATTTCTTTCTCGCCTCTCTCTTCATCTTCATCTCTCATAAATATTATGGACGGATCGTAACCCTTTCTTAAAGGGAAAGTCTGTCCTGTTATTAGGTTGGTTTTAATAAATGCAGAAAATTGAGAGAGCAAACTTTGTGAATGTTTGACCCAAATCCTATTAAAATATAAAACTTATGAATTGCTGAAGTTATCATCAGTGAAACACAAGTTGATCTCCTCTCCAATTTGCTCTGTAAAGAAAATGTCTTTAATTTTTATTTTCTTAATTATCTATTTATGACGTAATAAATTTGTTTTATACACGGGATGTATCAAATTTATATTTGGAATAATTTTATTTAGGATGAATGTAGGATTGACGATTTTCT